GGCAAGAGTTACACTAGGTCCCCTGGCCTCTCAGAGTCCATAAAGTGGGACAAACGTCTACCACAGGAGCTTCTGGGAAGGCCCAGAGCCTTGCACATTGGAAAGCTGTCTCTCTCATTTTTACTCCAGGCAGATGTCACCTCCTCCAGGATATCTCCAACCCCTCAAAGAAGATGTCAAGTGCCCCTTACCACAGGACTTCATAGCCTCTGCCGGCGTCATATGTCTTTGTGTTGGACTCCCGCGTTAGAATGTAAGCCTTGTTTATGCGGATCCCAGTGCCAGCAGACGCTTGGTAAATATTTGTTCAACACATTCAACAGCTTGCCCTTTCCTGGCTCTTCTCCCACTGGCAGGCTCACCTTGGACCTGCTCCAGAACAGGGCCTTCCTAAGCAACTGCCACCCCACAACTCACCTGCAGGTGTCTGGGTTGAGCTCTAAGCCCCGCCCTTGGCAACGGAGGAAGCTGCGGCGTCGGCAGCGGCAGCGGCAGGTCCTGGGGTCAGGGCGCTGGCGGCGCTGGGTGCAGCGTGGGCAGAGGGGCCTGGGGCTGGAGTGGGATGGGTGATGTCAGCTGGGGAGGATGCTCCGGGGGCAGAGTCCCAGCCCTGAACGGAGCGGGGCTGGGGACGGTGGTGGGGAGTGGCAGCCCTAGGAGGAGAAGCAACATGTCTGGGACAGGAAGGAAGAGTCTTCCCAGGAAGGAGCTGGGGTCAGCTCAGAGCATAGAGACTGGGGAGAAGAGGAAAGGGGAGAAGGTGGGGAAAGGAGGGAGAAGAAAGAGGGGAAGGGACCACACCTTCCTGACAGGCTGGTACAGTTCCTGCCCCACCCACACACTACGTCCGGGGCACTGGGCCTGGGCTTCAACCCCACCTCGGCAGGAGCTCAAACACTCACCTGTCTGGCTTCACAGCACTCTCTTTTTTTTTTGGTCTGAAAAGTAAGAGAGACCAACAGAGACAAGGAGGAGGAAGATCAGGAAATCCAAGCATCCTACTTTCTCGCCCCAGATCCCAGGCTCTGCCCTCAGAAACCTGGTCCCCACTGCAGTGTACCACCATGCCCAGCACCCCCCAAGCCTGGTTTCTGGGAGCTCAGAAGTGGGGCCTGGCTGGCACCTGCATTCACACTGGCTGTGTTCTTCCAGAGACATTTCCCCCAGCTGACTGCTCGGGTACCGAATCATGAGAATCTGCGCTCAGAAGAACAGACACAATGAGAAAGAAAGGAAGAGAAGGGGATGCTGCATGGGCTGGAGGGAGAGCAGCCCGCCCACCAGCTGGGGCCCTGGCCATAACCCCCTCAGCCCCCAGAGCGCCAGCATCCACCGCAGCCAAGCACACTTCACCTGCCCCAGTACCTGCATCCGGACTTGGTGCTGCCCAGTAGGCACGCACTCCAGGCCGTCGTCAGGGCAGCAGCCACCGCAGCGCTGCACAGTCACACAGCTGGGCACCAGCTGCTTGGCCACAGTGCCCATGAGCTCCACAGTCAGAGGCACTACCACCTCCCGCGGCTGGCAGGTGGCACGAGCATACACATCTATCCATGACACTACTGGGGACAGATGTACAAGGGGTAAGTCTCCACTGGGTTGCCTA